TAACAAATGGAAGAAAACAACGCAAATACCTATTCCCAAGAAATCAGGAGCTACTGAAGCAGACCAATTTAGAAGAATCTCCATGTGTAATGTAGCTTATAAAACTTGTGCTAAGTGGATAGCTAAACAGCTATGGAAACATGCAGATGAGCCAGAATTGCGTTAGGTGGCATTTACTGCTGAAAGAGTTACTGATGATTATATATTTGTAGCTAGACGTATGATGGAAGAGTATTGGAACTCAGGTCAGGATCTTTAGATATAAGCAACGCGTTTGATAATGTAAAATTAATATGTTTAGAAGAAGTTTTGATTAAGCTTAGAGTTCCATCGAGACTAATAGATAGAGTGTTATTGTGTGTTAAAAATGAGATAACAAGAGTTTTGTTGCAGTATCAATTTTCCAAAGAAGTAAGTAGAGGAAAACGAATAAAACAGGGATACCCTCTTAGGCAGAGGTAGGTTCAATTATATAATTCAAGATGTTTTAAATAAAGTTGTTTAAAAAATACCGGAACTTAATAAACATATAGTAAAGTATAAACATACATAGCCATTCCATAGCAAAACGATATAGTGGTTCTTAGAATTTCGTAACAATTGGTAGTTTTGTTCCTTATCGAAAAATATTCGACCTGTATTTTTTTTCTCATTAGGGGGTGTTCATAAACTACGTAGACAGTTTAAAGGGAGGGGGGGGGGTTGGAAATTATCCACGACCCATACACATTTAAAAAAAAATGTGTATGGACAATTGTCTACGCAGGGGGAGGGGGGTCAAGAATTCCAAAAAACTGTCTACGTAGTTAATGAACAGCCCCTAGGGTGACCATTTCCATGTTAGGTTGGTCCAAAAAATCGGTTTTTGCTACTTTTTTCCAAAAATGACTTTCTTTTAAAATCATAACGCTTGAACAACTGGGCCGATTTGAATGATCGAAATATCAAATGAAAGGTTATTAAAAATACTTCTCAAAAAAATAAAAAAGTTTTAATAATTGGAGTTTTGTATAGAAGAACTTTGATCGTATTTGTGTTTTTTTTATGGTTTTCATGGTTTGTAGACAATGGTTGTAACTCGTTTTTATATTTTAATTGGAAATTTAGGCTTTCCTCCACAAAATTTCAAAAAATCAGCTATGTATTTTTCTTCATTTTTGAGTTGCGATTTTTTGAACTTATCATGTTTAGAAAATTCGCTCATTACTACAATACGACTAGATTACCCTGCGTTACCATTGATAGATATCGAATGTAATATGGTTACATTACTTACTTATTTCAATTTCTGGTTCGATAACATCTAATCGACTTTTGTTGTGATTTTCTCAACAAAAATGCCGAAAGTCCCATTTTTTTCCAAATCATCATAATGTGAGGCATTTTCCCGGAAAAGGCCAAACAGATCATGCATACAAATTGAACTATGCTTGAGCCATTTTTTCGAGGGATTTGTAGCTCCTTTTCGCTTTTTCATTGGTACAATAAAATAAATCAAATCAATCAAATAGATCCAATAAATGAAAAAAATAAAAAAAATCAAATAAATCAAATTAATCAAATAGTACAAAATAATCAAATAAATAAAATCAAATAAATCAAATAAATCAAATAAAACAAAGAAATCAAAGCGATCAAATAAATTTAAAAAATCACATGAATCAAATAAATCAACTAAATCAAATGAATAAAGTAAATCTAATAATTCACATAAATCAAATAAATCAAATGAAGCAAATAAATAAAATAAATCAAATAAATCAAGTTAATCCAATAAATCAAATAAATCAAATAAATCAAATGAATCAAATAAATCAAATATTATCAAATAAATCAAATAAATCAAATCAATTATATGAATCAAATAAATAAAATCAAATAAATCAAATCAATACAATAAACGAAGTAAATCAAATAAATCAAATCAAACAAATCAAACAAATAAATCAAATAAATCAAATAAGGCATATAAATGAAATAATTCAAATAAATCAAATAAATCGAATATAACAAATAATTCAAGAAAATCAAAACAAGAAAGTTCTGAAGAGGATAGATTGATAGTACCGCTAGAATACGGAAGCGTGAAAATTGATAAGAAGATAAAATTAAGCGAAGAGCCAACCATACCATTCTTAGCTGTGACGGACCATACTAGGTGAATCATTGCATAGTTGAAAATTTGATTTTATTTGTTGTATAGTTGAAGATTTTCAAAACAAAACTCGATCAAACATAATCCTAGATAGATATCAAAGAGCTCTGATCACTTGATGGTCTTTGGAATATTTTCGGAGCCACCTTACATCATGAGAAAAAATCCAAAAGATTCAAATCACATCATGATGAACAGTTTGAGATCTTCAGTATAATAGTACCTGATCAACCTGAAGTCTTGAAAAATATTCAGACGATTTTATGGGGATCTAAAAACACATGAAGGACTTTGGAATAATTTCTAAGCTTCCGTGTTTCATATGAGAGAATATCTGGGAGATGTTTTTTGAATTGTTGGGCAGATGAAGATCTTTAAAATGATACATAATCAAGCTGAAGTCTAAAACAACTATCGTGAGAGTTTTTTGGAGATCACTGATCACTTGAAGACCTATGGAAAAAAAGATCTGACTTGAGAAGATATCTGGGAGATATGATTTTAATTGTTGTGCAGTTGAAAATCTTCTGAATGATATCTGATCAAAATGATGACTTTTTTTTCCCTTGATTTGTTTTCCGTCGATCTTGTTTTCCGTACTGAGTACCAATGCAATCGACTCCAGGGTTGCCTCCTACCCACACTTGGACCCTATCTATCGACTCATCAATTCATGGGCCGGGACCAACGGCTTTACTTCCCTTAGCGATCAGAGATTTTATGCCTAAAAAAATCCCGGCGTCGCCGACTGGAATTGAACTCAGGCCCTTTGAAGTGAGATGCAATCACACCAACCACTACACCACCGGCACCGCTTAAATTGAAGACTTGAACAAATATCCTAAGAACTTTTTGGAGATCTATGATCACCTGGCTTTGGAATAATATCTTGGCAACCTGGTGTTGGTGAGAATAACTGGAAAATGTTATTTGAATTGTTAGGCAGTTGAAAATATTCAGAATAATACATGATCAAACTGAAATCTTGAACAAATAACTTGATGAGTTTTGGGAGGTCTAGACATTTGTTCAAGACTTCAGGATGGTCAGAATTTGTTTCAGACGATTTTTAACTGTCCATCAATTCAAATCACTTCTCTCGGATAACAGATCAATGCAATTACATTCCATTCCGTGAGTCCGACATCAAGGATATACCCATACATCATCATCTCAATAGGCCCCGATGCGATGGGTGGACTACCGATCAGTTCTTGTAAGGCCAGTAAGGTCTTGCTCAATCTCTTAAATTTAATTCGCGCTATAGGGGGTTTTGGTGGGGCTAACCAAGGGGTTCTCGCATGACGACACTAAGCAACTTGCTGTTCAGCAAGAGCCCATGGTCGTGCAGATGAGCAACAACAACCACAGGTACCTGCCTGCAATAGAACTGCAGATGCGAAGCTTATCTGGTTCGCAAACCACTTTCAAAGTATTACTGATCTACAGTGGGGGGATACTTGATAGTTTACATCGGTGGTACATTTGCCATTGGTTTTCATTGGTATTTAGTACGTTGCGGAAGGTACCATAACTACATAACATCGTGAACTTGGTAAGCTTTAACGTGTGTAATTGGGTGGTGGTAGGAGATATTATGATTATGATAGCAGCACAATAGGCTTGGGTGATTTCTTCGAGGTCACGTGCTTCTGAGTCGATCACATGAACTGGTTCGAGGATTTTGTTTCTAGGATGGGATTTAGTTTCGCCCGTTCGGTTTCTGGTTTTGATTTTGTCGGGGAGCATTTAGCAGAAAAGGAGGAAATTTCTTCCTTTCTGCACACGTTTCTTTTGGACGCATCGAATATGCCGTATAGGTTAGATGGCTTCCAGTTCCTTTTCCACTGCCCGCTCCGCTCACGTTCAAATGAGAATGAAGCTTAATGTTTGTCATAAACCATCAAAGAAATCACAAAAGTCATTATAACTTCAGGGTTGCCAAACTCATGACATATTGACACCTTGATTGGTATAATTCGGCCTACTTCGTTAAGTTCAGCAAATCGCTTGGCACAGCTTTCGGCACCGCTTTCAGCACAGCTTTCGGCACAGCTATAACTCGCTGCACATGCTACAGTGTGCAGAGTTGAATACCCCTTGATCTAACCAGCTATTCGCTTGAATATCTGTTTAGAGAGAGCTCTTTTCCCGTTGTTTTTATTGTCTTCTCTTCCATTTTCTTTTATTCTCTCTCATTCTCAGATTTCACACGCTATATATAGCACTGCAAGGATGCTGATTGCGATAAATATGGGGGAACATTGCTATGCCATATATCTCGAGAACGAGTAAAGATATCTTAAAATGGACAAAATTTACATGTTTTTACTTATAGATGCATATTTTTTATTTGGAAATTTGGGCATTTTGAACTTAGACTTCTTGCGTTACCTCTAAATGTCATCGAAAAAAGCTCAATTTTTGATATGTTACTTAATTAGTCATAATAATCATTTTCCACATGGGAAAATATGCCACCGAGTGATTTACAATAATAAATAAGCCCCACCCCACAGACAAACAGACGTAAATTTTTGAATAAGATTTTCTTGAAAACATTGTACCTCAAAAATTAGGACCTCATTAACGACATCTCTCGAGCTTCTCGCGGAAAACAAGCTAGCTCGCTAAGTCGCAAACAATGTTGCATGCAGGGTAAACAGAATATATAGTATTCAAATCAATCGTTAACAGCCCAGGTTAGAATCAATTTAAAAAAATAACAAAATTATAGGTGAAATATTTAACAATTTAGAAAACGTCATACCATACATCACTTTATGGCATCACTGACACCCGTCGTTCCCTCCAGAGAATTAAAAAAAAGAAAACATCTACTTACCTCCGTCAGGTATCCGTGTACGCTCTGATCCGAGTAGCTCCTCTTCACGATCCGGCAGTTCGTAGGCAAAATTGATATTGCGCCAAACACGGCAAAGGCAACCCATACCTGCTTTCGAGGTGTTGTTTTTCCACGGGAGACGCAGTTGGAGTGGGTGGATGTTGGTAGTATTTTTGTTGTCGTAAGCACGGAAACCGGATGCGGAGATGCAACGAGGTAGTGGCAAACCGCCAGCAGCGGCGGAAACAAGTGAAAGGATTATTATGTATATACAGATATAAACAGAGAGCGAGAGATAGGGTGGCAGCATAGAGAGATAGATAGGTACAGGGATATACAAATAAGCAACAGCATGGCCAGCACGGGGATGATGACGACGTCGACTTTTAATGATCTGCAGCGAAGGTATATGTGTGCACTATACAGTGTGGAATAGTATAGTACTATAGTAGAGTCGTGCTTTTTCGAATGGAAAATTCAACAGCATTGTGATCGATATACCACACTCTCTCTCTTGTGTGCGGCAATAGATGCTGAGCTGTCAAGCACGACCGATTTTCCTCTTTTCCCTGGGAAAAGGGTTCAAGTGGTACCCGTTTTTACTCCTAAGTAAAGTATAGGGCACACATTGCGCTTCCATTATTACCTTATTCATTTTGTCATCCACACGGTGCTGCTCAGTGCGGCGGTCTCCCGAGAAGTATTATACAGTGTGCCTGGGTTCGGTCGATCGGGATTTATCCTTTCGATTTGGGTCGGCTAAACTTTTTACCGCAGCCGGAAATTGCCCCCTGATGGCTTTCGACGAAACCGGAGGTAGTCAAACACGCAAAACAGTCCGGAAAGGAAGGTTGCAAAATTTTTGGGAACGAACCGAATTCACCGACATACGCACACACACACACATGCACGCACGCACGTTTAGATGAAGCTGCTGTATAGACGACAGTCAGGGTTTTCAGTCAGAACAACTTGTTGATAATGTACACAGATGGGATATGAAAGGAGGGAGATAAATTGTAATCTTTTAGTGGAAATAATAAAAAAGAGCACACGGGTGATAAATGTCAAACACTTTGGGAGACGACGTTGATGAGACTAGGCACCGGGAGGCTCTGTTTTGTGTATATATCCTTGGCCAGCCGGGAGAGAATCCGACAGGATCCGATTTTGATGAGAGACCCGAAGGCAACCGAGAGGATGTGACGTGACGTCACGGATTCTGATGGTAAAGAAGGTGAGTTACAATATAAAGCTGCATGGCAGTAGGAAGCTTTCGTTGGTATAAAATATGATGCGTCTCCATCGTTTTGCTGCGCACGATCAGTGTGAACCAGTTGGTTGAATGGTAGAAATAATAGCACGCGTTCTTTGCACACTACCACAGTAGGATAATTGGGTGTATCACGCGCCCAGCGTAGTATGGTTCTCCCATAGGCCAAAATTAAAACATTTACATAGAACAAATCATGTATTCGTAAAAAATGCGACACGCCAAAATATTCACAAATAATCAAACTTTCATCAGATTCGTTTGAAATCTACCAGTAGACCGATTCCCCACGAAAACGATTGGACATCGAAATCGACTATCTTCTAATATCTGGATAACACTTGGTACACGGTAAAAAGTTGTCACATCTAATCCAAATGCTCTTGCACTTGACTCAGTCTGTTATGCGGCACTACGAATCGAAGTGATTTATCATTGATTTTCAAGTTATTTGTGTTTTGAAACAAAGTGATTTGTCGTTGAAAAATATGTACTGTATAACACCTTTAAATCAAAATGATTATCATTTGTTTTCATCCATTGAATTTGATTAGTTTTGCTTTTTCAAACAAATGTCAAAAACGCACATGACAAACATTACTCGCAAAGATAACAAACTTATCAAATTTATTGGAGAATGTCTCGTCTTGCTTCAACTAAAAGCCTTGCGATGTTGTTCAATATCACTTGGAAACATGTGATCTGAGTAGTAATACACACTTAGAAATACTTAATTTTACACGTGACGGAATCCATCTTTGAAATAAAGGGTGAGACGTAAACAAATATGTCATGTAAAATTAAGTGCTCTGAGACTGAAAAGTTCGTTATTCGACTAAAAGTATGTTTGATTGAGCTGAATTTTGCGTCTAATATGACTCAATTTTATGTCAAAATTGACGCTCGTATATGTCAGTCTCAAAGCACCTAAATTTTTCTAAGTGTGTATCATATGGTCATATTCTGAAAAGAACATATCAATTATTATAAACAACTTGTTAAGCCCTTTTCGCGCGAACCGAAGAACGCCCACGCAAACCAACCGGCATGATAACTTCCCACAAATCTGCTCGCTAGCGGTGATAGACGGTGGAAGGTGACTTGTAGGCAATGACATTTATATAAGGTCCGGGCCAACAGGGAGCCTGCTGGTGTTAGAAGCAAAAATGTTGTAAACATTGCTGAGCACGCAAGTGACGACGTCACTCTACCATAACATTCCATACTGCGAACAGTGAGATTTACGTCACTGCCAACACAGCTGTTTCGTGTAAAAAGATAAACATTGCAATGGAATACGAACACCACTAAACATTTGCACATTTCACTAACACCAAGAAGCCTGTTGGCCCGGACCTTATATAAAGGACATTGACTTGTAGGCTGCGTTGAGAATGGTGATCGCTCGGTTGTTCTCACATTCTAACTTGTCACCCTTCTTGTATATTGGGCATATTACTCCCTCTTTCCACTCCTTCGGTAGCTGTTCTGTATCCCAGATCCTGATTATCAGTCTTTTCCGGGCCCATTTTGATAAGTTCCGTTCCGATACCATCCTTCCCAGCTGCCTTGTTGTTCTTTAGCTATTTGATAGCATCCTTAACTTCACTTATCGTGGGAGTTGTTACTTGTACTTCGTCCGCCGCACCGATGAAGCCGTTCCTTCTGCTGTCTTGGTTATCCGCCTCTATGGCATTAAGGTGTTCATCGTAGTGCTGCTTCCACCTTTCGATCACCTCACGTTCTTCCGTCAAGATTCTTCCATCTTTATCCCGACACATTTCGGACAAAGCCTTTGCGGGATCCGTTGAGTTTCTTGTAGAACTTGCGGGTCTGTTGTGAACAATACAGCCGTTCCATTTCTTCGTACTCTGCCTTTTCCAGGCGACGCTTCTTATCCCGGAAAAGGTGAGTTTGCTGTCTTCGCTTCTGTTTATATAGTATCGCTCCACATTTTGACGGGTACCTTGCTGCAGCATCATCACCCGCGCTGCATTCTTCTCGTCTAAAATCGGCTGACACTCCTCGTCAAACCAACCGTTTCATCGATTCCGTTCCACAAACCAAATGGCACCTTCTGCTGCGCTGTTAATGACTGCTTTGACACTATCCCAGCAATCCTCAAGAGGGGCTTTGGTCAGCTCTCCCTCATCCAGCAGCGCTGCTTCAAGGTTTTGCGCGTAGTCAGTTGCGACTTCGGGTAACTTGAGTCGTTCGAGATTGTACCGTGGCGAATGTTGTTAACAACGGAAAGTCTTTGGCGCGCTTTTACCATTACAAGGTAGTGGTCCGAATCGATGTTTGCGCCACGATAGGTCCTGACGTCGATGGTATCCGAGAAGTGTCTCCCATCAATCAAAACGTGGTTGATTTGTGATTCTATCTTTAGTGGTGATCTCCAGGTGTACCGATGTGGAAGGCTGTGCTGGAAATAGGTACTACGTATGGCCATAATCTTGAAGGCGGTGAAATCTATGAATCTGAGGCCGTTGTCGTTCGTAAACTGGTGAGCGCTGAACTTTCCGATAACTGGTCTACTATAAATTCCTACTCCTGGCGAACCTGAGCATTTAGATCTCCTTCGCCAACGGCTGAAAGCCTTTATAATAAAGAAATAATAAAAAAAAAAATTAGATCTCCGATAATGATTTTGACCTCATGGTTTGGGCAGCTTTCGTATACTTGTTCCAGCTGCACGTAAAAAGCGTCTTTATCATCATCGTCACTTTCTAGGTGAGGGCTATGCACGTTTATATATTTATTTATTTATTTATTTATTTGTAACATGGAATATTACAGATACATTTGCCTGAACTAAGTCCTAAACATATAAAAAGATATTAATGATAACATAATTCACTTAATTTAAATACAGAAAACGGAAACCGCCATTAAGTTAAAAGTACATTATAAAACTGATTCTTAAGCCTAAAACGCGAGATATTGAAATCAAAGCATTTATAACCTTTGTTGAAAATCTTGCACATGCTAGTTAACGGCTCATTAGCGCCGTAGTTTGTGCGAGAAGCCGGGATGTTGAAAAAATAATAAGAACGTAAATTTACGCGTCTGATATTGACATCCAACTGCTGCAGAAGTGAACCGCAATTAATGTCCGATCGTAGGAGATCAGCGATGAAGGTAGCCTTAGAGACGCCTCGGCGAACACTAAGTAATTGTAGGGAGATTGAAAGGATCACTCCAGGGTAGCCAACGAAGGGCGAAACGTACAAATCTTCGCTGAATGGTCTCAATACGATTCACCCCGTTGCTGTAAAAAGGAGCCCATACTACGGAGCAGTACTTTAATGTGGAGCGGACTAGCGAACAACAGAGAGTTTTTAAACAGAAAATGTCCCTAAAGTCTTTGGCGAAACGAAAAATGATACCAAGTTGAGAAGATGCCTTAGCGGAAACATAAGCCACATTGTCCTTGAAGTTGAATCAAGTAGGACGCCTCAGTCTTTAATGGTAGATTTACGGCTTAATATATGCTCCTGCAGGCTGTAAGCATAACAGATAAGTGATTTTTTTTCCTGGAAAACGTTATAATGGCTAAATGTGCATTTAATACCATCTTGTTCTTGTCACACCAAACAGCAAAAACGTCCAGCTGCTGCTGAAGAAAATACATCACTTAGATCTTTGATGACAAAGTATAGTTTGAAATCGTCAGCATAAGACAGCTTCAGGCAACGGATCGAAAAGTGAACGTCATTCAGATACAATAAAAATATGAACGGTCCCAGATGACTGCCTTGAGGTACACCAGAAGAAACGGCGAACGGTTGAGAAAAATGATCTCCAATCTTCACTGGCATATGTCGACCGGTGAGGTATGAGCGAAGCCAATGAAGAAGGGAACCGTGAAAGCCAAGTCGCTCTAGTTTGGCCACTGCAATCTCGTGATTGATTTTATCAAAAACAGCAGAAAGATGTTTTAAATAATCTAGCACCAATAGTTCAAAAAGTTTTGAGACTGCACATAAAGCAGCGATACAACGGTAGTTGGACACCGACTGCTTATTGCCTTTTTGGAAGGCAGGGAAAACAAAAGAACCCATCCAGCAGTCGGGAAAGATCCCAGAATTCAAAGAGAGGTTGAAGATGCACAGATAAAAATTCTGAATTTTAATTGTGATGTCATTCACGTAGACTTGTATTTCATTTCACGCAACCGAGCAACTTGCAAACAATTTTGTTTACAAAGATGGGCTTTTGCATACAATATTTGCTATATTGCATGGAATGTGTCAGAGATTTACATGATATATAATGTAAACGTATATGATATGTGACGCTCCATTTATGTGCATCATATTGAACAGAAATTTGCACTACTTTTTCGAACTGTGTGGATGCTAAAGGTGTGGCCAGTACTCCGATACAGTTCTTAATAACCGCGGAAGGGATTCCGTCAGGGCCAAACGAAGGCCTGCTCTCCGAACATCATTAGTCGAGATAGGCGCATGCGGCCCAACAGCAGAAAGTACGGGAACATTACTTATGGCGTTAGGTAAATTTTCTTTGACGAATACACTGCTGAATTGTGACATGAACAGGTCAGCGATTATTATTATTATTATGCTAACATTGAAGAAGCGGCCTTTGATCCTCAACTTGCACATTCTGTTGTCGATTGGCCACCACCAAATCACGCGCTTTTGCATTTCATCCATTATGATAAAAGCTGTATCCAGCTCATGTTTGTTGCCACAGCTCTGGTAGATGGTACCGTGCCGATTCAAATTTCGGACACTTAAACTCGAATTTCGGACACTTTTAAAAGTTGATTATCTCGGTCGAATATGAT